AAAAAAAAAAAAAAAAAAGAGAGACTTGCTGGCAAAGATCACAACCACTGCTGAGCTTGTCTTGACAAGCTCAGCAGTGGTTGTGATCTAGTCTCTTTATCGACTTCTCTAGATAAAAATACTATTGCTGTATAACTAAAATGCAGGAGCTTTTTTTAGATTAGGACTGGCAGTGATCATGTCAGGTCTCAGGAGCACAGTCGCGGCTGGCCAAAGGTGGCTGGAGCTCTCTAGCATGAAAAGTGGAAGTGATCCTCAGAGAAAGACTCATGGACCCTGGCCAAGCCTGGCCCTTACCTTCCAGTTTTCCCAGTAGACCAATCTAGGGACAAAGCCAGGCACTGCTGCTCCAGGGCAAGGCTGGACAACGGCTCCAGCATGTGGCCGCTCTTCTACTGGAGAAGGAAGAACTCCGTCAAAGGGAAGTAGCCCCCCCAGAGCCCCCAGAAGACTCTACCCCTCCTGCAGGGAAATCATGGTTCCCTCATTTCCTCCCTACGTGGATGAAGTGCATCAGTCCCTGACACACTTCCACCTAACCCTGAAACCCTGCCATGGGCCAGGCACTGGGAAGACGTGGGGACACTGGAGCCCACACTCCTCACACTTGGAGGAGGACCTTCCCACAGGCTTGATCCTGGGGCACGGTCTCCCACCCTTTCCCGCCCACTTGCGTCCTTGCGCTTCTAGATGCTATGAGACGCCTGTGCAGGCTCCAGACCACAGTGGCATGCACGGTTCCCCACTCAGGCCTCCAGGGCGCTGCACACTCACCTCCCAAGACAGACAATGGGGAAACTCCTCTGGTTTCCACTTCAAAAGCTGTAAGTAGCCATGAGAGCGTGAGTGCTCTTTCCACAGAGCTACATAAATTTCATTTCCTAAATAACCTGGCCCTGCTCCCAGCAGGCTATTGCACCAAAGCCCTGCCTGGGTTCACGCCTCCTCTCTTGGGCCCACAGCTTTCCTGTGGCCGCTCTTTCCCTCCTTTCTAAGACAGGGCGACTGCTCTGAGCTGCCTGAAGCAAGGGCCTTTCTACACAGGCCTTGGGTTGCCATGAACACAGGGCTGGTCTGACCTGTGGCCCAGCCCCAACTACAGCACCTGCATCAGAGTGACGGCACGGTCTCGGGCTTTCAGGTCACCCCACTATGTGACATCCCCCCTCCTCTCCCAGCTATCAGATGAAGTCACTTTGCTAATGTATGACTCAGGATCACTGTGAGAAACCCAGAAAAACTCACACAGGACTCAAACGCTTTCTTTTCCAATAATCAGTGGACAACGCCATCTTTTTTTTTTTTTTTTTTTTTTTTGAGACGGAGTTTCGCTCTTGTTACCCAGGCTGGAGTGCAATGGCGCGATCTCGGCTCACCGCAACCTCCGCCTCCTGGGTTCAGGCAATTCTCCTGCCTCAGCCTCCTGAGTAGCTGGGACTACAGGCATGTGCCACCATGCCCAGCTAATTTTTTGTAGTTTTAGTAGAGACGGGGTTTCACCATGTTGACCAGGATGGTCTCGATCTCTTGACCTCGTGATCCACCTGCCTCGGCCTCCCAAAGTGCTGGGATTACAGGCTTGAGCCACTGCGCCCGGCCCTGGGCAACGCCATCTTTACACAGGACGCTCACTGCTACTCGCAGCCCCAGCATCAATCCAAGAATGCCTGCCTAGGCTTTCCTTAGAGAACTTCCAGATCCACTAACAGGTGAATGTCACTTCAGCCCTTCTGCTGCTGACACGAGGTGACTTCGTCTTGGAGTTGGATGTAGAACCCAATACAACTTAAAAACAGACTCCGTGCTCTCGTAGAATGTTTACGTATGGTTCACCATTGAAAAGAGGTTGTTTTAGGAAAACGTCTGTATCAGCACAGCCACCCCATCCAACGCTCTATTCAGGTCCCTGCTACCCCACAGAGCAAGTGCAAGTCACTGACCTCAGATTCTGCCAGGCGGAGCAGCTGTATAGATCCACTCGCATCGGCCAAGCCCAAGAGGGCATGTCCAGCTACCGGGATGTGACACCTGAGGAGAGGGCCCACCATGAGCACACCGAGGTGCGCGCAGCACAGGAGCACACCGTGCATCCGGCCATCACTCATGCTTCACTTAACAACGGGGCTGCACTCCACGCAAACCCAGCCAGGACAGCCTACTACACAGCTTGACTATATGGTGGGGGCCACTGCTCCTAGGCCACAAACCTTACAGCATGTTGCTGCAGGCAAGTGTCACACAACGGTAAGTGGCCGTGTATCTAAATATAGAAAAGGTACAATAAGAATACGACATAAGGCCGGGCGCGGCGGTTCACGCCTGCAATCCCAGCACTTTGATGGGATCAAGACATTAAGACTATCCTGAGGCCGGGCGTGGTGGCTCACGCCTGCAATCCCAGCACTGTGGGAGGCCGAGGCGGGTGGATCACCTGAGGTCAGAAGTTTGAGACCAGTCTGATCAACATAGTGAAACCTCATCTCTACTAAAAATACAAAATCAGCCAGGTGTGGTTGTGGGCGCATGTAATCTCAGCTACTCAGGAGGCTGAGGCAGGAGAATCGCTTCAGCCTGAGGCGTGGAGCCTGCAGTGAGCCAAGAGCATGCCACTGCATGCTAGCCTGGGCAACAAGAGCAAAACTCCTTCTCAAAAACAAACAAACAAAAAAACTAAGCAAAAAGTAGCTGGGCGTGGTGGAAGACACCTGCAATCTCAGCTATTGGAGAGAGGCTGAGGCAGGAGAACTGCTTGAACCCAGGAGGGGGAGGTTGCAGTGAGCCAAGATTGCGCCACTGCACTCCAGCCTGGCGACAGAGCAAGTCTCCATCTCAAAATAAAAAATAATAATAATAATTAAATAAATTTTAAAAACATAAAAATATCAGCTCCAAAACTGGGCTAGAGCCTACAATTGTGTTCTCAAACAAAAGATGCCCCAGCTTATGAGGTCAGAAAACTCCCATCGCTTCCCCGACTGGAACATGGCAAAAGAAATCAGCCCCACGTAAAGCACTGCCCAAGTGGGACGGAAGCAGGGCAGCAAAGAAACAAATCCGAAGTTGACACACAATCCCTGTCTCCTTGAAGTCTACCCGGCATCAGGCTCCCCTCATTAAGTGACTGACTGGCTACTCGTGACAAATTCTAGGCCAAGTGCGATTACCACAGTTGTACCATTTCATGTCCAGGATTGCAGAAGTATCTTTTCTTTGGACCTCGACCAGAGGGTGAGTAGAGTTGTTGTTCTCGTTGAAACGGTACAGGAAGAGACGACCTAAACGGATCTGAGGCTCCTCAACTTCCATTCCACCCTATAAAAAACGCAGAGGTATTCTCTGATTACGCCAAGACACCAAGGAACCCAAGCGATGGGAAAAGGGACCCAAGGAACTCAAAGGTTTGTGATGACGGACGGGGCGGCATTCTGCCTGGAAGGAGAGGCGCCGGTGTCCTGAGCTGGAGAAATGTCTATTTTCCTGTGTGTGATGAATGGGCAGGTGAACGAACGCTCCTGGACCGAGTAAAGGCTCCTTCTAAGCCGGCCCACAGCGCCCGGCCGCGGCCAGGGTGAGCACAGGGCCCAGCCTGCCTGGGACGGCCCTGACTTGGGCCTGTCGTTCCGGCGCCCAGTTTGCACCCTAACATGTACCTCCCAGAAGTTAAGGTATAATCCCCAGTTTCTCTTCACTGTACGCGCCATCCATCAGCCTGAGCCACACCCGCATACAGAAGACGTTCTGCTCTCCAATTCTGCAGCCGGCCGGGGCGGGGGCGCGTGCCTGCGGCCCGGCTGCGCAGGGCCCGGGGTGCGAGGCTGCCCCGAGCCCCGAGCCCCGAGTCCGAGGCTGCCCTCCAGCCTGGGTGACACGGCAAGACCTGGCCTCAAAAAAAGAACCATGTGGCTGCGTCCGACCTCCGTCCCGGCGGAGGGGCCGGCATGGCCGCTTCCCTCCCGCGCGGCCCCGCGCGCCCGTCGGCCTCCACCCCGTGGCCGCCCCGCCGCCCCCTCCCCAGCCGGGGCGTGCGCACCTCGCTCTGGGGGCCGGCGGGCTCGTCCGCACGCCGCAGCTGGTAGGTTCCGCACGCCAGCAGGTGCCGGAGGCCTCGCAGCGGGCACCACTCCACCGCGTCCGCAGTCAGCTCGGTGTCCACCGTCTGCAGGGCGCAAGCGCCCGTCATCCGGCCGGCGGTAGAGGCGGGTCGGCGGGGCCGGCGGCACGAGCGCGGATGCTCCGAGACACCGTCAGCGCGGGCGGCCTCTCCCTCGAGTCCCCGCAGCCGCCTCTCGCGATTCCTTCCGGCGCGCCGGGGCGGGACATCCGGGCGGGCGTCGGCCGCCGCGGACTCCCCCGGGAGGCCAGGCTCCTGCGCCCCCTGTCGGCCGGCGGACCGCGGCGGGCTCCAGGCGCCGGGCGCACTGCGCCTCTGCAGAGCGGTTTTGGAGACGGCACGTTCGAGACAGGGCCGCAGGTTCGAAGCCGCCTTTGCAAAAATCCCGTCAGGGAGGAAACCCCAACGGCAAGCTGCGCAAGCGCACCGCGTGGCGCCCTCCCGGCTGCTCCTGGGCCTCGGGCCGCGCCGACTTCAGACGATGTGACGCCTTGCCCCGGAATCCGCGCCTTCGCAACGCGGAGGGGCCCCCAGCACCCCGAGGCGGCATCTGGGCCCCCCAGAAGCGGCTCGGCAGGAGGACGGCTGCGCCCCGGGATTCTCAGCACCTGCCGCCTGGCCACCCCACCCCTTCCCCCAGAACTGCCTTTGAAAAACCCCTAACCGGCCGGGCGCGGTGGCTCATGCCTGTAATCCCAGCACTTCGGGAAGCCGAGGCGGGCGGATCACGAGGTCAAGAGATCGAGACCATCCTGGCCAACATAGTGAAACCCCGTCTCTACTAAAAATACAAAAAAATTAGCTGGACGTGGTGGCACACGCCTGTGGTCCCAGCTACTCGGGAGGCTGAGGCAGGAGAATTGCTTGAACCCGGGAGGCGGAGGTTGCGGTGAGCCGAGGTTGCACCACTGCACTCCAGCCTGGCGCCTGGTGAAAGAGTAAGCCTCTGTCTAAAAAAAAAAAAAAGAAAAAAAGAAAAACCCCTAACCTGGGAGCTCTGGACAAGATCTGAGGATGGACTCCAGCTCCCACGAGGCCTGGCCGGCCCGGATCTACCAGACTTTTTCTTTACTGCGATCCATGGTCTGTCCTTGTGCAGCGGGCAGGGAGAACCCCTCGGCCCCGACAGGCTGAAGACCCTGGCACCTCAGAGCGCATCCTTGGCAAACGGGCTCTCAGAAGGGAGAGTTGAAACAAGGTCCTAGGGAGGGCCCTGACCCCGTGGAGCTGGAGTCTGCAGAAAGGAAAGCTGACCACAGGAGGCAGGCCAGGCCCTGGCGGGAGGGCCCGTCCCCACACCTCCATCTGAGGCTCTGGCCTCCAAAGCCCAGACGGTGAATTCCTGCTGCTTCAGGCTGCACAGCGCCTTGTGCTGCTTTGTTGTGGCAGCTCCAGGAAGCTAAAGCGGACTTGACTGAAATTTACGGAGCCTGGGTGGGTGTTCAGCCTCGGGCCTTCAGTGCGGACAGACAGCAGCTCAGATTGCGGCAGAGGCGCCGACAAGGCTGGCCCAGAACGCAGCAGGGCGTTCCCAAAGGGCCTCAGCCACACACCTCTACGTGGGAGGGAGAGTGCCCAGGCCAAGCACCCCAACGCACCACACTGCAAACGAGCTGGAAGCCAGCCCCACATTGCAGCCATCTGGATGTCCTCAGAACGTCTTAGGTACTTGGCTACAAAGACCAAGAAGTCAGGACCACGGAAGGGGAAAGACGACCAGGGGATGGATATCAGATAAGAGAAGGGAAGCGGTCGTGGGGCCCATCCCACCTTCACATTGGCACCTGTCGGAGTGAGGCCTGGAGCTGCCACACACAAACTGAGAACCTGCATCGCCCCCTTCCCCGCTGTGGTGTCTCACAAGTGGGAGGCCCTGGGTGCTTTTCAGTGCATTTCTGATGACTGCCAGACAAGGCAGCCTCTGCTGGTCAGGGGGCGATGTGGCCATTCCCCGGGACACAGCCTGCAGTCTGTTCCCATCCTGACTCTCCATTTGAAAGCAGGCTGCCTGAGGGCACGTGCGGCTCCAGGCCGGAAGATTGCCCCAAACCCCAAGCTGCTGACCCAACATCTCTGGGGACACTTAGGTCCCCCTCCCTGAGAGCTTTCACCTGCTCAGATGTCCCTGACCTTCACAGCAAAAAAGGAGGCTTCTCGTGACACAAACACGTGCGGTTCTCTCAGCTCCGGGAAATCCTGCGGGGTTTGCTGCTATTGCCTGTTTTCAGCTGTCCTGTTCTTCAGGAGGCCCCAGGGTACTGCCAGAGAAGCTAAGGCCAACCCAGCCAGGGGTTGAGAACACACAGGGTGTCCTGGAGTGCGGCAGAGGAGCTTCAAGAGGGGGGAGTGTAGCAGGAACCTGCGGGAACACAGGGTCGGGGCGGCCAGGACCAGACCAGACAGGGCAGAGTTGGACTGGCCAGGCTCCTAGCTCCCAAGAAGGCCTCTGAGTGGGTGGCTGGGTGCACCTAGAGACTGGCAGGATCCCGGCCACACAGCCTGACTTGTTTCCCTGAGCAGCTCTATGAGTACAAGATGCTGACCAACCCCAGACACCTGGGGCTCCCCCAAGGACAGACGGTGGACCCTGGAGGCCGCAGCCCTGCAGAGGGACGGAGGAGTGTAGCCCTCACCCCACCCCGACTGCCCAGCACCCTCCCTCATCTGTAGCAGGCCTCCTGCACATGCCTGTGGATTCTTTTTCAGACGGAGTCTTGCACTGCCGCCCAGGCTGGAGTGCAGCGGCTCAATCTCGGCTCACTTCAAACACCGCCTCCTGGGTTCAGTGATTCTCCTGCCTCAGCCTCCCGAGTAGCTAGGATTACAGGCATGTGCCACCATGCCCAGCTAACTTTTTGTATTTTTTAGTAGAGATGGAGTTTCACCAGGCTGGCCAGGCTTGTCTCAAACTCCTGACCTTGTGATTCGTCCACCTTGGCCTCCCAAAGTGCGTGGGCCACCACACCCGGCTGCCCTGTGGATTCTTCCGGGCAGCAGCTGTCACTGACGAGCTCCCAGGCACTTCACGCATACATCAGACAAGAGCTAAGCAACGTCAGCGTCTGGAGCATCCCACACCCAATAAAACAGTGGGCAGCCGACAGCGCCCCACCAGTCCTGTGCAAGACAAGGACAGCGTTCCACTCACACTTCCTGCTGGACTCAGGAAGGTCTGAGCTCACCCGCTTCACAGAGGGCACATGAGGAGCAAGGCCAGGTCCTCCTGCCCCACACCCACAAGGACTCAGCTCCACTCACAATGACCTCACCCTAAGCAGCACCAGAGGGAGGCGGAGCAGAGAACGGCCGAGACGCCAGACGATTCCACCCCTTTACTTTGCCTCTGTGGACACAACTCCCGTGCAGGCCGCGCTCCGTGGGGCGAAGCTGCAGCTACAGGACAGTTTTTAGACACGTGGCCTGACCATTTGCCATTCAAGGATTACAGCAAAAGATTCTATTTGTAATTTCTACCCTTCCCATTGCCTCCCCCCAAAAAAAACTGTACATGAGTTTACAAACATATTAACATATAAATAATGAGAACCGTCCCGGTGGAGCCTCCTCCTGTCCCTGCTGGGGATGAACACTGAGGGCGCTGTGCCCACACAGACTGCCTGTAACGTCGGGAGTCTCACGGCGGCCGTCCCGGGCCTGCAGCTGGCTTTTTCGGCACCTCCAGGTTCAACCACGAGTTTGTCTCTGCTGTGCCCAGGGCAGAGCCCGGGGGCTGCGACTGTGTGCGGCTGCCCCGCCCGTCATCGCTCCGGCTCGAGCTCATGCTGGAAGGGACGCTTCCTCTCCCGACAGTGTTTCTTGTGGGCCGGCCAGTCCTTCTGCTGACACTGGGAGCCACAGTACCGGGCCACCTGGCAGCGCCCGCAGATGTTGAACTCCCGGAGCTGAAATACAGAACACCTGCAGCGTCACCGTCGTGCCAGCGATGCAGTGCGGGGCAAGGTCCATCTCACAGACAATCTGACGGACCCAGCAGAATACCAAGGCTGGGGGCCTGGGCTCTGGTCAGGCTGGCACAATGGCAAAGGGAGACCACCTGGCGGAAAAGCCCACGAGCGGCTAAGAGGTCTCCGGGGATGGGCCCTGGGGTGGGAGGACAAGACCCCAAAGCAAGGCTGGGCTACAGGGGAGAGGACACCCACCTGCTTCTCGATCACCGTGCAGGGCGGGTAGTGGCACTCATAGTAGGTGCAGGAATTCTCCTCCTCCTCCACCACGTCCCCGTTGGCGTTGTAGTACCGGGTCACGTTGAGGACAGGAAACTGCTCTTCTATGGGGTCTGTAGGCAGCTGCTGAATTGCAAGCCAGTACAAGCTTTGCTCCCTTAAAGACAGACGCAGACACTTCAGTGCGCTCTGGCCAAACAGGCAGCACACGGCGGACCACGTGGCACCTCTGGAGTGCCACCCTGCCCGGGACGCCCATCCCTGCTGCATGCGCTTTCCACCACCAGAGGCAGTCATACTGTGTCTCGCCTTCCCACTAACCCAGAAGCACGGCCTCATCTGTCACCCTCTCCCCAGCACGCAGGAGGCAGGAGGCAGCGCCCAGCTCAGGTCCCTGCGCCTATCGAGGCAGCCCCTCTCCTTGCCCTTGGCCTGCAGAGGTACCCAACACTGCCCCGTTGGTCCACTTCCCTGTCTGTGCCAGGAGCTGCCCTACATCCGTCTGAAGACTCCTCCTGCTTGAGCAGGCCAGATGCTTACAACGGGAGAGTCCTACCGAGAACGGAGTCTCCAAGGCATGTGCTGTATGGAACAGACCCTGGAACAAGCACCAGCTGCTCAGAGCACATGTGGGCAGCCCCATCCTGCTGCATCACGGCGTAAATTTAGGAGCTGCCTAAACCACCCGCAACAACGCAGTTCTCTGAGGCCAGACCCTGAGGAGACGTGTTAAAAGGGGGAAGGGTCGGGACATGGGAAGATGCTGGTGAGGTCCCACCAGACAGAGGCAAGTTTCAGACAGTGGTGGCTTCTGAAGACAGAAGAGGAGGAAAACTCCTTTGCCAAGAGGCCCCTTTTGTGGGTGCCAAGCTGACACAATGCCAGGAAAACAGAACAATAGCCCAGGCCTGACAAAGACAGGGTGACCCCACCACAAAGAGCCAAACCACAGGAAGGCCACAAGCCGGGAACCAGGACACAGCACCCAGCCACCC